CAAGAACGCTACTAGGGGCTCCTGGCATCGCTACTAGGAGCAGAGACTCTACTAGGCGGAGATTTGGCTTGATGTTGACTTGCAGCATCCTCCCATCTCTGCGGAAGCAATAAAGGCAGGTGCATTTGTCACAACTCACGCAAAGAATCCATTGCCAAGAGAGTAGAGATGACCACTGATCACCGCCGCGTGGAGTTTCAAGCTTTGAGAAGCCTGTTCAAATCACCAGAGTTTTTGAAGGGTAGGCACAACGCCCCTCAGGGCTAAAGCTGAACGTCACATAGTTCCATGGGCCTTTCAACTTTAAAGAACCCTCAGCCCTCTGCATGCTTGAAAGACATCCCACTATCAGTGCAATGCATTTGCTTGACCAAAAGCACCCTTGAGCTGCAAAGTCCAGGAGGGACTTTGCCGAGACAAGTCCTGTCATGCGGCGGCGGCACTCGGCAAGCTTTCCACATCTTCTAATGGGTTTTCTGATCCTGATTTCAATTCCGCCATTTCCATTTTCACTGCTCACACAAAACTTTGCGAGCGTAGCTGGAGGGGCCAAAGGCAATGGAAGCCCCAAAGTGATAATCGGTGGCTTGGGGCCCGGAAGCCCTGGCCACCTAACGCGTGCAGTTTGGGATGAGATTTGTAGCTCCTCTGAGGTTTATGCTCGAATTGGACAACATCCTGCCCTGAGCATTATCCCTGAATCTGTGAAGCTTAAAACGTTTGAAGACTATTACGAAAAAGCTGAGACCTTCGAGCTTCTTTACCGAAATATCTCCAAGCGTGTCGTGGAGCTGGCTCAAAAGCACGGAAGGATCCTCTATCTTGTGCCTGGAGATCCTTGGGTTGGCGAAACCACCACAAAGCTGATTCTGAAGCAAAGTTCGCTTTGTGGCGTCAAGGTGGAGGTTCTACCGGGTGTAAGTTTCGTTGAACCAACGCTGGCTTCTCTGGGTGTTGACATGCTTCCCAGGCTGACCGTTGGTGATTGTTACGAACTGATCAACTATCAGCATCTACCTGTCGAGTGCAATACACCTCTTCTGATTTCCCAGGTGGAAGATCGCTTTGAAGCCAGTGCTTTGAAGGTCGTGCTGATGACTAGCTTCAGTCCACAGCACAGAGTTGCACTTGTGCATGCAGCTGGCTCCTCCAATAGTAAGGTGGAGTGGCTGCCGTTGCAGAGCATTGACCAAAGTAAAAGCATTGGAATTATGACTTCGCTCTACATACCAGCAACTTCCGGAAGCTTCAGCCAGCTTCGAGATGCCTTTGCCAAAAGGCGCGACTCTCTTGGGGATGCCTGGGACGACATGACACACGCAGATCTGTCTACCGGGCTGATGGATGCCTCTCGCAAACTGGTGGCAGTCTCAGCGGAAGACCCACCAGAGCCTGCAGATTTGTCAGAGTCCTTGGCAGCTCTTCTAACATCAACTGTGGCTCATATGCAGCTTGGTGAGGACGATAATGATTTGACAACAAGAGATGTGCTTTCTCGAGCATCGGAAATGGCTGCCGAGATCTGATTGATCGTGATTCTTGACGTCCTTCAAACCTAGAAACAAAGAAACCGGGGAGAGATTGTGAAGCTTCGAAGACGCAAAAACGCTCGTTATGACGATCCTCGTCTCCAGCAAGATCTTGAAAGCTCCCAGGACTTGAATCACACACGCTCTCGCTACGGATGAAGATAGGATCTCACAGGCGCACACAGTGACTACAGTGACTATGCCTACGTGAGTTGTTTGGCTCGCGGTGTCACAACTACGCGACGCCGCAGGTACAAGTGCGAGAAGCATTGTGCATTTGTTGGAAAACAGAAGTCAAGTCGCCGATGACAGCTCACTCGGCCGTTTTGCCCTGCTCCTTTTTCATGCGTGGGATGAATCTGATCTTGTATACTTCAGGTTCTGGTCGTGCAAGAGCCGCCTGATGTTAAGTCTTTGAGCCTAGAGGCACATATCACACAGCTGGCTGAAATGCACGCAGTATATACTTGTACCTGCCTTTAGCTTCAGATGAAGACACTAGGGCTTATAGGCTGTGGCAGTTTTGCAAGTGTGATCAATGCTTTGCATACACATGTCTTTATGATTGTCCTCACTGTGTATGTTTTAGCTTTGTCATTTCTTGAGGGCTTTGACCTAGTGCTGACGTGGCAAGACGAACACCTGGAGCTTGCCTCAGGGTTAGCCTTACTACAGCAAACACCTTCTGCGAAGAAGTGCATTTTTCATCTGAAGTTCCTGGAGTCAACCATGTCTTATTTCAACAAGTGCCTTCCTGATTCTTGGCAAGGATGACCATAATGACTAGCTAGTGTCAAAGTGGCGGGACCTGTGACCTGAGGAGCAATACAATTCAGATGAATTGGGAATACAGTCTGATTATGGTTTGTTCGAGCGGTCAAAATGACTCTACAACACTCGGTTTTGAACGATGTCGCTGAGAAGCAACTGGGTCGACGTGCGGAGCTCTTTGTGCCAGCTACGCCTTGGCTTTTACCAGCCAGCTTCCAAGTTTCTGTTTGGTGTCCAAGTCTCACGTGCCGTTGGAATCCTGATGAGCGGCTGACTCCATGCAGAATTGTCTTGTTGCAACTGCCAGGCCGAGTGGGATCAATTTGCGATCAAAAAACTTGCTCTTGGATTTCTAAGAGGCACTGCTTTGCATCGACCTTTTCTTTACCCGTTTTACTGCAAGCTCATTCCAACATTTTAGAGATTATTTTTGCATACAGTATTTATTGTTTATCCTTCTGCCAGAAATTTACGAATTATTATGCAGGCAGCAAGTGCCGGACTGCTGGTCATCAGCTGCGACACAAGATTTGGGAGGCCACTCTGAAGAGAAGATATTGATTTCATTTTTTTGGAGGGGACGTGAGAAGACGACCGGGGTGAGGTAGGAGGAGGAGACATTAATGTACGCCACCAGTATCCAATGAGTAGCTACTGGGTTTGCAAAGCAGAAGAACCCTTCGCCTGATTGATTTGGTTGGAGTGAAGAGCTTTAGAGCGTTTTAGAGACACTTATCGCAAATTGTAGAGCATACGGTCTATTACATAAGTTGCGCTCAGAAGCTGGTCGCTTGTCGCTTGTGAGCCTCAAAAGGTTTGTGTTTGGGTTCACAACGGTTCAAGTTTGTCCTTTGCTTTCAACCATGACAAACTGCACCAAGCATAGAACCAAAGAGAGCTTTAAGCACACCCAGTCTCTGCAGTTGCTGTCGGTTCATGGTTAGTGCTTGAGGATTGGTAGCGTGCATTCGATGTGGATTTTTATCCACTATCAATCGCGTGCGTTTGGGGTTCATCGCTTGAGCGGCTATAGAATGAAAGATCGTAAACGCGGTGTCAGTGTGAAGCCAACATGGCTCATAGGGGTGACAGTCGAACAAGTGCCCGATTACCTTGATATGTGCTCCTATGAGTTGATCTCTGGCAGGAACAACGACACCTCGAACACTCGATGCAGGCTGGGAAGGGAAAAGGATTACTGTAAGTTTTGAGGTTTTAGTTATATAGTTTTAGTTTTGATATGTTTTGAGTACTTTGTAGTTGCTAGTCAGCTAGTTTGCTTCAGGTTCCTCTGAACTTCATGGAGGGTGGCGGTGTTAGCCGCGAGCAGCGCAACATGCAATTCTTCAGCAGCTTCGTGCTGGTGGGTCTGGGATGCTACTTGTACTACTAGCGATGGTCTCCAACCTACTCAGGAAGAAAAACATCGGGAAAGGAAGATGCTTGCAAGTCGTTGCTACTAGCAATGGCCTCCATTTTAATAGCGATGGCCTCCAACCTACCAAAAGACGTGCTCTTCAGAGTTCTGCAGAGGTGATTGAGAACTCCAGACACAAAAACTATTTTTCGGAAAAGCTGCTGGATGCTCTCGTGCTGCCTTGCATGCTTTGGTTGCTACATACATGCCGCACCATGTCCCAAGTTTCTTTTGTTTCAGATTTTTCTTTACGCTGGCCAGCTTGCCCGGTGCATTCCAGTGTATTGGGGGTGTGGGGGACTGAGTTCATAGCGATGCTAGAACCTGTTTGTGCATTGATTGCACTCGTTCACTTTGCTTGTGTTGAGAAGTTGATTCAGCACGATTGAACGACTCGGGGTCAGAGATTTTGCGGCGTGACAGACCATCTCCCTCAAGTTGGGGCATTCTAACTTCAACTCCCACAAAACCATCCCTTTGTCCCGCGCGTCCGACCTCACCTGAGCAGATTCCATTTCATGCGGCAAAACGATTGGCAAAGCTTCTAATCATCCGCTCTCATCCAATCAATCTTCCCTACTGTACCCTTTTTCTACTTTCCGCACATTACTTCACCTGATTTACATACGTCGCCCACAGTAGTATCATTTTTGACACATTGAGCTGCAAGTGCGGATCACTTGAGGAGGATTGCAGCTGCCTTTTACCTCTACTTTGCACGCCCTTGCGGTGAACAGGTCTTTAGTTCAACCCTGGTCACCACTTGCCCTTTCTGCTCTTCAAGAGGCAAAGAGAACCTTTCAAACTCCATTTTTGCGCGATGTGTCCACTGATGATCACTGGAAGTACGAGTAATCCGGATGTGCGGAAAGGAGTAATCCAGATGTGCGGATCCTTACGCAATTATTTATCATATATTTGGAGCCTTGGAACTTAGAGGCCTTAGATAGAGCCCTGGCAAAGCAAAACAACCAAAACTACAAGCATAGGCGCCAGACGTATTCCAGGTGGTTTACAGACTGCATTACAGTAACGGGTCCAGTTGAACATGTCCATTTCCACAACTCTCATGAACCCTCATCATCCTTAGTGCTTTTTTGGGCGTGCAAACGTCCCCCCTGATTGCGGCTGCAAGTATCTCCATTTGCAAGCTGTTTCGCAGTCATTGGCTCCTGCAAATATACAAGGCACAAATATTGGAGAATTTTTTGACGTCGCCACTTGGCAGCCCTTCAAGTGGCATTTGACAATTCTGTTGAGCAGTTTGGCAGTCTTTCCCGCACCAGTTAAGGCTGGATTTGTGGTTGTTGAAGGTGAGAATGTGGAGGAAGCGCTACACAATGTAAGGAACAAAGCTCGCCACGTCGCAGTGACTGCAAGCTTGCAAACCTTGACGAAGAGCAGAATCAACAGAAAGGACACAAAGCACACAAAGCCACGCACACAAATCGTCTTTGCTCAAGGTGGTTTTGCAAGCCAATCGTCTTTCTCCAGGCCTCGGCTGGTGTCATGGTTGCATGTGATATTCATAAGCAGTGGAGTCACTGGAAGCAGAAAACCACAAGCTAAGCACTTGTTCCCTGTGCAGGTTTGGCTGAGCTCTGCCAAGAAGCCATCGAGAGGAACTACTTAGAGGCATCGAGGTGCCAAGCCGAGTAGTTCTTGGTGTCAAGCTTCTGATTTTATGTTCCTAGTAGCGTCCTTGCTCCTAGTAGCGATGCCAGGAGCCCCTAGTAGCTTCTTGCTCCTAGTAGTAAGGTAGTATGGCCAGGAGCCCCTAGTAGCGTTCTTGCTCCTAGTAGCGATGCCCTTTGCTCCTAGTAGCTTCTTGGTGTCAAGCTTCTGATTATATATATATATATGTATTCTTGTTTCATTTGTTGAATGTTTCTTTGCAGGTATGCAGGAGACTTTGGCCTTCGTTTGCAACAGGTGAGTTTGCAAATGTGACCTCCAAGTCCAAGTACAGTGAGACTGGCAGCATCCCAATGCCTGTATGTTTGCGAGGCAATTGATGGAGCATTTCTTTCCAGACCTGAACTGGGCCAGTCAGAGACAGCATGCAGCAGCAAAAAGCCAAGCGGTGTGAGTTGGAATGAGTCAACATCTAGTGAAGCCTGCTCTGAGTTGTTTGCAGTTCATGTTTTTCTCCAACATGATATGGGCGAGCTCTCACTTTCCCTCATCACCGAGAATGGGACACTACTCCTGCCTGTTAACACATTGGCCGGGACAATTTTTCAAGAACTGATGATGAGCCCTCCAAGTTTACAGTGACTGTCCTTTGGCCTCGTTTCAAAAGAGGTAGCTTTTGGACTTGTCAGCCTTTGAGGGACGGACCGACCAAACAGAGCCACTTCTGCACTCCAGGATGATGGCCATGGTGCTGCTAACCCAAAGGAGGCTTACACCTAGCGTCAAATTTTTGTTCTGCACTCAGCCAAGCCCAAGGAGTCTTGTCATGGGTTAGTCCGAGCTGAGCTGGGTGGCACAACCAATTGATTTTCGCATGTTTTCATGTGTACAATCTGGCATCGTTTGCGAGAAAGTTCACTTTTGAGGCTTCAAGACAGCCCCTGAGTGGCTGTACAATTTCACCACATTTCTCGATGGGGCTAGACCACATGGAGGAGATTAAGCATAATTGAAACAGAGTCACCGCAGACAAATTCCATTAAAACCATGCTCTCATGCAAAATGCTGATGTACGTCACTGCCCAATTCGTTTCGCTTGCCAAAAGGTTTTGCAAGGCCTGTAGTCTGGTCGGAAGCTCGGAACGTTTTTTTCGGAATCCCCAAATTACTTCGTATAAACTCCTTGGAACCGAGCTTCCTCGGGGAATTGCCACTGGGCAAAGGCCTTTTTGGAACTCGCTTGAGCGAGCTGCGTGCCTTTTGCATCCTTTTGCAAGTATTCAATGTATTGGTTGACCAGAACTTCGTACTTGACAAGGTCACTCTTGTTGTCCTAAACATTCCAGTGGTCCAAATTCCCTGAGGCAGGCCCACTGGCTGTCCGGTAGGGCAGGGATTCATGCGCCGGTCTCACTTGCCATGATCCCTTCCTAGTTGAGGGTGCCTTGGTTGCCTGCCCATATAGATTTTGGGGTCGCAGCGCGTGGCCCAAGTGTGCAGGCTGGCAATGTCAGCTTGACAAACTGGGAGCTTGTGCTTTGGAGTTCTGCATTTGGATTGCTTTGGCCAACAATCAAGCCTTCCAGACAGCCTAGCAGCTGTTTTGATCTTCAAGAGTTGGGCAGAAAGCGACACAGAATAGATGAACATGAACACATGTCATTGATCGAGCAGGTCGTTGATAGCCACGTCAGCAAACCATATGTTTGCGCTGTGGCAAATGCTTCAGCGCGCTTTGACAGGAGTGTTTTGGATGCAGCAACTATTCATGACAGCATGCAGAATGACAGTATGACCGATGGAGCAAGTGAGATGCTGTGCCAAGAATGTGACTGATGTGGCACTACTTCAGGTGTCTTGGACTCAACTTGCCAGTCCTCATACGATCGCTTTTGATTTTTTTGGTACGTCCAAGAACGCATGATGCGGGATTCATGTTCAGGTTCACCCTTTCGCCGCTAGGATTCAGAAGACTCCGATGTACGTCCTGGCAGCTGGTTCGCTTGGAGGACTTGCCCTTCTCCTGATCCATATGTTTAATGTGTGAAGCTGAGAGTCATCTCACTCGCCTTGTTCTGCAACTGCAACATGCAATCCACCCCAAAAACTGAGTTCCTTGAGTGTGATCTGACACATGGGCTTTGTTCCCTTTGAGTTTCGTTGAGGCCTCTCCAGGACAGGAGCCGCCGCTGGTCGTCCTCCTCGCACTCTTGCAATTCTGTGTGCAATGGCTATTGAATACTTAGAAAGTGCTTGGAACCTGTGGAAAGCAGGTTATGTTTCTTTAATGCATTCCATTAGCCAAAATGCCTTGCCATTTTGGCTCAAGCTTGATTCCAAGTGAAAAAGACTTTCCCGCATTCGCTCTCCTACTCTCCTTTTTGATCGGCATGGCTGGAACTGGCTCTGGAGAATTCTTTGACTGGTCTGTGTTGGATGGCGCCGAGACTGTGACCCCTCCAGAAGCAGAAACCAGGGACAGGGAGATCTTCCTGGTTGAAGAGGCAGTCCGTCGGTGGTCGGCTGGATGATGCCCTGGCGGGACCCATCTTCCCAAGGATGACACGGAGTCCGTGGTGTCTGCGGGTTTTGTGAAGAATGAGCTCCCCATGCCTGAGGAACTCCAGGGGAAGCTGGCAGAGTCGAGTGAGGCCATGTCGGCGCTCATGTCCCGTGGCCCTGAAAGCTGGACGGAGGGGGATGTTCCCTATGTCGTCTTCTTCACCTACACCACCTTCTGGCGAGGCGGCGGCTGCGGCTGATACTATTTTGCCGCCCCCGACATCGGATTCTGCACTCCCTGGCCAGGGCGTGCGTCCCGTGGATTTCTGGACAATAGCTGCAGCTCACAGCCAAGCCTCCCTATGCTGATGGCGCTGCTCCATTATATACACCTCAGTCGATGTTTTCTCCTCCAGCATCAAGGCAAGCTTGGAAGAGGAGAAACTCATGGACATGTTGGCTGGTCCGTTCCAGCCGCAGGAGGGCGTCTGTGGTTGCGCCGGCACCGTCGACCAACTCTGTGCGGGCCCTCGGGCCCCCATAAGACGCTGAGAATCCACCTCCTCAACACAGAAGGAGTGGCAGTGGGCTGTGGTTGGAGACCCAAGAGCGGTTCAGTCTTGGACCTAGATCCGAATGATTTTGCCAACGACCCCGACGGATTTGGGAAATGCGAACGCTGCTTCAAAGCCCACGATTTCCCAGCTCATTGGGGAACTGAGGACCAAGAGGTCCAAGTGGTCCCACAGGACACGGACTCCTCTCTGGATTCCGGATCAGATACGGATGACTCAGTGGACACGGAGTCAGACCTGGAAGGAGTAGACCTGCCAGAGTTGCTGAAAGTCATCCCGACGGAATGAAACGAAAAAGGGGGGGGTCGGTACAAGTGCTCCTAGCCTTGAGCCGCACCCAGACCTCCAGAGAGGGCATTTTGCCACACCGGGTAGCGCACCCGGAGGACCCTCCCTGCGAAACTAGAAGGGTTCCCCTGCTACACACACCCTTAGAAGTCCTGGCATCCTACGGAAATGGCGGGAGTGCCAGTCCGTCCTACGGAAACGGCAGAAAAGCGTCCTGGCACACCCTAAGTGGTGAGGCCTTGTGACAGTGGATACAGATGCCAGAGGGTGGAAAGATCTATAGCCACCAACACTTAGCTCTGAAGGAAAAAAGGAGGGATACAGTGTTGGTGGCTTACTGCAAGAACGACAGGTCGTTGAGGTGTGTGTTGGAAAAAGACATGTTTTCATACTTACATACATGTTCACTTGAAATTTTGTTACAGACTTAGGAGAAACTTAACCAACCTGCAAAAGTGCCTGCTGCGCTTGCACTTTCTGTTGGGTTTTTGGACTTGATGTTTAAAGAAACTATTGCATGTTATTTCACTGAGCCCTCCTGCCACTCCTGTGAATCCGTGGAGTTCTGCCAGGCGGTAGTGCCAGGTGGAGGTTTGACTTTAGATGGACTTCCGACGAAGTGGGTGCTTTCCTCAGGGCCTGCAGGACTGTTCAACATTGTAGCACATCTCAGTCATTCTCAATTTTTGCTTTCAATCTAGGTACAGAGGCGGCTACAAGAGGCAGATGCACACCGTTTCCTTGAACCATATACCATTGGACTTTGCTCCGCAATGAGGCTGCAAGAGTCTATTTTGAGCAACAAAAGGCTGGCAGGAAAGTGCAAGCATCGCGCCTAGTCTTGAGACTTCGAGAAGATGGTGCTGACAATGAATCTGAGCCTGTGACTCCCATCCTTGATGACCATATGGACCATGACAATATTGTGCCATTAATCATCAACAATTTGTCATGCGTGCCACTGGTTTTGCATCTTCGTTTCATTGACCATCGCCTCGCACATTCACATGCCCAAGGTGGTGTTGCTCTCCGGAGGTACAACTCACAAGCCACGGCCACAGAGCTTCAGCGGATAGACTATCATGTATCACACATACAGCATAGATTCTTCCCAGACTGTATTTAAAATTCAATATAATATATATATATATAATTACAGTAAATTTAAACAATTTGAAACCAGCCGTTTACCTTTACATAAGTCCTTCCGATTTGTCCATTGTTTTCAAACACATTTTTGCATTGTTCAAATCGATTTCAAACCAATGTTGCTAGTTGTCCTTGTGAGGCCTATGCCACGTGATCCTCACTCGGGATTTCAAGTTTATGAGGCTGAGGTGTGCCTTGGTTGACCCTGTTGACTTGCTCATAAAAACGCAGTGATTAGACTTGTGTCACACGCAGATTCCCCAGGGCGGTGCGCGGTGGCTCATCAGAGAGCACAAGGTTCCGCCAGAGGACGGGTGAACTGAGAAGTTTCAAGAAAAGTAGCATTCTGGTGATTAAAGGCATTATTTGTGGACCCTATGCACACATCAGGACGTATTCGAGGAAAACTGGTCCTTGGATACGACCCTCAGCTGCTGTGAAACGATTGACATCTAAGCCCTGACCAGCACACGGCTTGACCAAGAATTTGTGAGGTAGCGCCAAAGTAGCGCCACGGTTGATCGTCAAAGTCAGACCCAAGAATTTGGACAATTGAGAGGCAACACCCAAAGCTCCCGTCCTTTGCATCGAGCAGGAACACTGGCCATGAGAACTGAGCTGTTTACTGAGGATTGCCAATGCATTCATGTTGCGGACGGGATTCTTGGATGCCAATGTCCGCTTGCAACTTGCTGCAATTTATTTCATCGCCATCGTCCATGTAGGACAACGCACACAGATCCAGCTGGCTGGACTAAGTGGGTTCCTCAGCTCTTCCTGACAACCTGAAAGCTGCTACGTAGCAACCTGCTGACAGGCTGCTCGTCATAAACAACGCATTCCACATGCCACGGACGAAGGAGATCTTCATAAAGGCCCTCAACTTTCCCTTCAGAAGGGTAGAAACCGTTTCTTGAAGAATCCTAGCTGTAAAGGTTTTTGGTCTTCCACCACTCCCCAATGGCCAATACAGCCAGAAACCCAGATGAGACAAGTTTTGTAGCGAGTTCAGAGTCTAAGTCTAAGGCTTGGACTTCTTGGAAGTCCCAGACGAAGGCGGAAAGAAACAAAAGCGTGCACGCAAACCGTCTTGCTCAGAGCATCTAGTAAAAAGGCCAAATCCGTCGAATCACAACCTCCCGGACAGTGGGTTGGTTTCTGTTGCAGTTTCGGGTGAGGTGGTACATGGTGGTACTGTGTTTGAGGTTTCAATTTTTGATGGATCAGTAGCGTCCTTGCTCCTAGTAGCGATGCCCTTTGTTACTAGTAGCTTCTTGTTCCTAGTAGTAAGGCCAGGAGCTACTAGTAGCGTCCTTGCTCCTAGTAGGGGAAGACAAGAGTGTTGGATTGGATCATTGGACCTAGGCGTTGAGCCAGATGCTTTGGAAAGTCGTAGAGCACGCGAGGCAAAGTCCTTGGCAAGCTTCAGGCCTTTGAATATTGCTGCAGATCGATTGTTTTGACGCTGGAGAGCTTTCATCAAAGTCTTTATGCACCCCTATGTTAAAAGTATATGGAATATGTATATAATATATATATATACATATAAGAATATACAACGACGCAGCGAGTCTTGATGTTCTCACAAGTGTGTTAGCTTAGAACATCAATCACAGCGTGCTGACTTTTGGTCATTATACTTAGAACATGTGTATAAAATCATTCAACCAGCTGCAGAACATACAACATAGAACATGCACCATGACCATACCAACCTGAAGATGTATACAAAGGTGTGTATATATATAGATTATGTAATATATAACTAGCAAATCAATAGGAGTTCAAAGGAAATCAAAAAGAACATGAATAGGAGTCAAAAGGATTTTAAAAGGAAGTCATTAGGAATCGACAATATCTAAAAGGACATAATCAGGAATTTGCATACAATGATTCAATCACCAGCAGAACATGTAATGTAACATAGAACATGAACCATGCCCATACCAACTAGGAAAATGTATATGTATATACAACTAGGAAAACAATAGAACATTTCAGAAGAAATCGACAAGGAAATCAATCTGGATCAAAAGGCTCTTCAAAGGAAATCAACAGGATTCAAAAGGACTTTAACAGGACATCAATAGGATTCAGTAGGAATTAAAAGGAAATCAACAGGAATCAACAGGATTTTCAAAGGAAATCAACACGAATCAAAGGCAATTTAGAAGGAAACCAATAGGAATCAAAACGGGTTGAAAAGGAAATCAATAGGAATGAAAAGGACATCAATAGGTTTCAAAAAGGATTTGTATAAATGGACATTGACAGGAATCAACAGGAATCTAGAAGTAAATCAACAGGAGTTTAAACGGAAATTAATAGGAATCAAACAGAGTTGAAAAGCAGATCAATAGGAATGAACTGGAATTTTAAAGGGAATCAATAGGAATCAAAGAAGTTCAAAATGAAATAAGGAAATCAATAGGAATTGATACTCTATAAACGATTTTCCATAGGAATCAAAAGGAACTTAAAAGGACATCAATAGGAATCAAAGAAATTTAAGAGGAAATCATTAGGAATTGGTATAAAATCATTCAAGCACCTGCAGAACATTTAATTTAGAACATGCACAATGACCATACCAACCTGAAGATGCATATATATATATATATATGGTGTGTATATATATATAACCGTAGGAAATTAATAAAACATTACAAAGGAATTCAAAAAGGACATCAATAGGACTCAAAGGGCATTTAAACAGGAGATCGACAGGAATCAAAAGGAGTTTAAAAGGACATCACTAGGAATCAAAGACGTTCCGGAAATCGCTAGGAATTTTAAAGAAAACAATAGGACTCAAAGATATATATATATATAGCTGAAAATCAGTCGGAATTGGTATAAAGCCAGTCAATCACCTGCAGAACATTTAACACAGAACATGAACCTGAAGATGTATATATATATATATATATATGGGGTGTATACATACAACTAGGACATCAATAGGAATTTACAAAGAATTCAACAAGGAAATTAATAGGAATCAAAAGGACTTTACAGTAAAAGGACATCCATAGGAATTGAATCAAGAGGAATTCCAAGCAGAACAATAGGAAGCAAATAATTTTAGGAGGAAATCGATAGACATCAAAAGGAATTTAAACGGAAATCAATAGTAATCAAGAGGAATCCAAAAGGAATCAATAGGAATCAAAAGGAATTCAAAAGGAAATCAATTGGAATCAACAGGTATTTTAAAGGAAATCGATAGGAATGAAAAATAATACGGGACATCAATAGGAATCAATGCCCAATCTTTCCGATGGCAGGCAACGAAGCGCTTCCATCAGCTCAATGCAGCAGATGCATGCCGTACTTGCAGATTGCACAAGAGAATTTGCGCATGCGTCAGCTTAGCATACTCTGTCAAATGGCAGGCGTTTCTCTTCACGGAGCACATGGCCTATTCTTCAAAAAGACTATTGAAAGCCTGATGCTTAGCTTTAGCGGTGTTGGACAGAATCAATTGTTGAAAGAACCTTCAGGATCGTGAGCCAGTAGATCCCAAAGTTGCAGAATCATATTGATTTGCCTGCAAAGTCCCAGCCCAAAAGTGATCTTTTATGCTGTGAAGTTTGCTTGTACAGCAAAAGTGTGCAGTATGCCTAAGCATCATTGAATGTTCCAAGCAATTCGCATATTTTTGTGCTCGTAATTTTTGGTCCAAGCCCCAGATGATCTCCATCCTGCGGGGATCAGCCGCGAGCAGAGAGAGATCTTGGATTTCTCATGGGAAAGGCCTGACAGTTTCCATGCTTTCTCCGGGCAATTTCTTCGTCCATCACAGTATTGTTGTTGCTTCACATGTAAGCAGAGTGGTGCCTTCGCAAGACAGAAGAGCAGCCCTACGCGCATCTATTTTGCGAGCTACCGTTGTATTTGGAGCCGCAAGATTCATCTCGCGCTCGAGGAGAATTCCTCGTCACGCTTCTGCAGGCAGACTGAAGATTGCTGGAGGCCATTTCGTGGACAAAGAAGAGCGAATTGTGCTGCCCAGAGGAATTAACTTTTCAGGACTTTCAAAAGTCCCCACTCGTCCGGATGGTGCGACGCATTTGGGTGGGCCGAAGTTTTACGAGCATCGTGATGTCTCCTTCGTTGGCCGCCCTTGCAAGCTTGAAGAGCTAGACGGACATTTGGAAAGGCTCCAAGCTTGGGGTTTCAATTTACTGCGACTTGTGATTACATGGGAGGCTGTGGAACATGCAGGTCCTGGTGAGTACGATAAAGACTATTTGGACTTTCTGCGGAGTGTTTGTTTGCGCGCAGAGGAAATGGGGTTTTGGATCCTGATTGATCCCCACCAAGACTGTTGGTCACGATGGACTGGTGGCGATGGAGCACCTGGTTGGACCTTAGAGGCCATGGTGTTTCAGCTCATCAACGCTGACCGCGAAACCATGTGAATTATTCTACATATCGCGAAACCATGTATATTTAGTCACAAAATGTCACAAACACTGTCACAGTTTGTTTGCGAACCAAGATGCTGGGGATTGGGTTGAGGAGAGATCTGGATGTCACCATTGAGTTTGACAATCTTCAGGGTGTGGCAAGGTCGCGAAAAGGAAAGCTAGTAACAGTAAATCCTGGAAAAGCTATTTTGAGATGCCGATGAACTTGAAACTTGATGGTAAGAACATGAACATGGAGGGGTCAGGAGTCCTTTGTGCTTGATAAATATTACTGATAGGAATTAGGACATATATAGATATTTTTAAGAAGAATTTTCATTGACCCTACACGACTACACCAACTACAGAGTCACTGTGACAGCACAACCATGAACACCATACCTTGCAGCCACGCATTGAAGGCAGCAGGTTTCAAAGTGGGCCCTGAACTCCATACTTCTGGAGCTGCTTTTCTACACCAAGAGAATGGAGATCCTCTCCCTTCAATGTCTTGGCCAACCAACTATGACCGATTGGCCAGCGCCACGATGTTTAGAACTGCCAGCATGTTTTAAATTATTTCTCGTGTTTGCCGCAGTCAGGTGCAACCTGGCTTCTTCCTTTCGCATGGCTCCGAAATCTATTTTTCTTCGATTTGACTCTCGAATGGCAGGCCTGTTTTGGGCTGGCGATCGCCTTGCTCCAGGCATCACAGACGCACTGCAAGGCGCACATCCATTGTGCCACGTCTATGGATGCTTTTTGCAACGGCATTGGATGCCATGCAGTGCCTCACTGCAGCTTTGCCGTCCAGCTTGGCATTCCACACCTTTTTGCAGTTGGTCCAAGCAGAAGCGAACAAAAACCATCAGGCCAAACGGACACACATCAAGATATCTAGCTTAGATTGTGTGTTCCTTTTCTGTACCCCTGTTCTTTTGGAACTGTGCAGACGGACAATTTCATTTAAGCACTTGTTGCATTTGGTTGTCCTTTGAGCCAATTCTTTAAATTTTAGCTCTACATAGCTCCACAGAATACAGAGCTGTCTTCATGCGACGCCATGAATTGCCTTTGCAAGTAAAGGATGGCGTGCCATTGAGGCTCTGTTTTCGGGGTTGCTGAAGCTGGTTAAACAGACGAAACGGACATTCGCGGGACCCTGTATTGTTTATAGCTATGAGGTTGGAGACCATCGCTAGTAGGTTGGAGGCCATTGCTATTAGGTATACTGTTGTATAAAGCATTATATCATTACTATATCATTAATCATTAATATACTATTACGTAAAAAGCCTGCTACATGTCAGTGCTGGAAAATCCGGAGACCCTTCGCAGGACTCGACGCTTGCCACCTAACTACGGCTCCTCACTCTACGAATCTTGGAATCATTCACCCAGACACGGTGCACACCCACA